AGCGTTTCAGCCTGATTGGACCTTGTTTTCACACAAATGGACCCAGAATGATGTTAAATTGTGCTTCGTGCAACATAATTCTGGGTGCCATTTACAAACCTTAAGTGATAATGACTCCATTCCTTTTTGTGGTTGTAGGGGCTGTTGATTGGAGTACACTAAAACAAACCTGATCTCTCTAGGACATTCAGAAGCCAAGTTATAAGCCCACAAATGTGTAACTGGACTACTTCTTTAAATTGACACCAGATCCGGTGACCTTTGGGACATGGTTTGACCCCCTTAGGAAAGTGCTATCATCATGAAACGTTCAGATCACTTACAACTCAATAGATTCTACCTTCCTGTAACGTTTCAGCCTGATTGGACCTTGTTTTCACACAAATGAACCCAGAATGATGTGAAATTGTGCTTCGTGCAACATAATTCTGGGTGCCATTTACAAACCATAAGTGCTAATGACTCCATTCCTTTTTGTGGTTGTAGGGGCTGTTGATTGGAGTATACTAAAACAAACCTGATCTCTCTAGGACATTCAGAAGCCAAGTTATAAGCCCACAAATGTGTAACTGGACTACTTCTTTAAATTGGCACCAGATCCGGTGACCTTTGGGACATGGTGTGACCCCCTTAGGAAAGTGCTATCATCATGAAACGTTCAGATCTTTTACAACTCAATAGATTCTACCTTCCTGTAACGTTTCAGCCTGATTGGACCTTGTTTTCACACAAATGGACCCAGAATGATGTGAAATTGTGCTTCGTGCAACATATTTCTGGGTGCCATTTACAAACCATAAGTGCTAATGACTCCATTCCTTTTTGTGGTTGTAGGGGCTGTTGATTGGAGTATATTAAAACAAACCTGATCTCTCTAGGACATTCAGAAGCCAAGTTATAAGCCCACAAATGTGTAACTGGACTACTTCTTTAAATTGACACCAGATCCGGTGACCTTTGGGACATGGTTTGACCACCTATAGGAATGTGCGATCATCTTGAAACGTTCAGATCAATTACAACTCAATAGATTCTACCTTCCTGTAACGTTTCAGCCTGATTGGACCTTGTTTTCACACAAATGGACCCAGAATGATGTGAAATTGTGCTTCGTGCAACATAATTCTGGGTGCCATTTAAAAACCATAAGTGCTAATGACTCAATTCCTTTTTGTGGTTGTAGGGGCTGTTGGTTGGAGTACATTAAAACAAACCTGATCTCTCTAGGACATTCAGAAGCCAAGTTATAAGCCCACAAATGTGTAACTGGACTACTTCTTTAAATTGACACCAGATCCGGTGACCTTTGGGACATGGTTTGACCCCCTTAGGAAAGTGTTATCATCATGAAACGTTCAGATCACTTACAACTCAATAGATTCTACCTTCCTGTAACGTTTCAGCCTGATTGGACCTTGTTTTCACACAAATGGACCCAGAATGATGTGAAATTGTGCTTCGTGCAACATAATTCTGGGTGCCATTTACAAACCATAAGGCTAATGACTCCCATCCTTTTGTGGTTGTAGGGGCTGTTGATTGGAGTACACTAAAACAAACCTGATCTCTCTAGGACATTCAGAAGCCAAGTTATAAGCCCACAAATGTGTAACTGGACTACTTCGTTAAATTGACACCAGATCCGGTGACCTTTGGGACATGGTTTGACCCCCTTAGGAAAGAGTTATCATCATGAAACGTTCAGATCACTTACAACTCAATAGATTCTACCTTCCTGTAACGTTTCAGCCTGATTGGACCTTGTTTTCACACAAATGGACCCAGAATGATGTGAAATTGTGCTTCGTGCAACATAATTCTGGGTGCCATTTAAAAACCATAAGTGCTAATGACTCAATTCCTTTTTGTGGTTGTAGGGGCTGTTGGTTGGAGTACATTAAAACAAACCTGATCTCTCTAGGACATTCAGAAGCCAAGTTATAAGCCCACAAATGTGTAACTGGACTACTTCTTTAAATTGACACCAGATCCGGTGACCTTTGGGACATGGTTTGACCCCCTTAGGAAAGTGTTATCATCATGAAACGTTCAGATCACTTACAACTCAATAGATTCTACCTTCCTGTAACGTTTCAGCCTGATTGGACCTTGTTTTCACACAAATGGACCCAGAATGATGTGAAATTGTGCTTCGTGCAACATAATTCTGGGTGCCATTTACAAACCATAAGTGCTAATGACTCCATTCCTTTTTGTGGTTGTAGGGGCTGTTGATTGGAGAACACTAAAACAAACCTAACCTCTCTAGGACATTCAGAAGCCAAGTTATAAGCCCACAAAGGTGTAACTGGACTACTTCTTTAAAGTGACACCAGGCCCGGTGACCTTTGGGACATGGTTTTACCCCCTATAGGAATGAGCGATCATCTTGGAACGTTCAGATCACTTACAACTCAAGAGATTCTACCTTCTTGTAGCGTTTCAGCCTGATTGGACCTTGTTTTCACACAAATGGACCCAGAATGATGTTAAATTGTGCTTCGTGCAACATAATTCTGGGTGCCATTTACAAACCTTAAGTGATAATGACTCCATTCCTTTTTGTGGTTGTAGGGGCTGTTGATTGGAGTACACTAAAACAAACCTGATCTCTCTAGGACATTCAGAAGCCAAGTTATAAGCCCACAAATGTGTAACTGGACTACTTCTTTAAATTGACACCAGATCCGGTGACCTTTGGGACATGGTTTGACCCCCTTAGGAAAGTGCTATCATCATGAAACGTTCAGATCACTTACAACTCAATAGATTCTACCTTCCTGTAACGTTTCAGCCTGATTGGACCTTGTTTTCACACAAATGAACCCAGAATGATGTGAAATTGTGCTTCGTGCAACATAATTCTGGGTGCCATTTACAAACCATAAGTGCTAATGACTCCATTCCTTTTTGTGGTTGTAGGGGCTGTTGATTGGAGTATACTAAAACAAACCTGATCTCTCTAGGACATTCAGAAGCCAAGTTATAAGCCCACAAATGTGTAACTGGACTACTTCTTTAAATTGGCACCAGATCCGGTGACCTTTGGGACATGGTGTGACCCCCTTAGGAAAGTGCTATCATCATGAAACGTTCAGATCTTTTACAACTCAATAGATTCTACCTTCCTGTAACGTTTCAGCCTGATTGGACCTTGTTTTCACACAAATGGACCCAGAATGATGTGAAATTGTGCTTCGTGCAACATATTTCTGGGTGCCATTTACAAACCATAAGTGCTAATGACTCCATTCCTTTTTGTGGTTGTAGGGGCTGTTGATTGGAGTATATTAAAACAAACCTGATCTCTCTAGGACATTCAGAAGCCAAGTTATAAGCCCACAAATGTGTAACTGGACTACTTCTTTAAATTGACACCAGATCCGGTGACCTTTGGGACATGGTTTGACCACCTATAGGAATGTGCGATCATCTTGAAACGTTCAGATCAATTACAACTCAATAGATTCTACCTTCCTGTAACGTTTCAGCCTGATTGGACCTTGTTTTCACACAAATGGACCCAGAATGATGTGAAATTGTGCTTCGTGCAACATAATTCTGGGTGCCATTTAAAAACCATAAGTGCTAATGACTCAATTCCTTTTTGTGGTTGTAGGGGCTGTTGGTTGGAGTACATTAAAACAAACCTGATCTCTCTAGGACATTCAGAAGCCAAGTTATAAGCCCACAAATGTGTAACTGGACTACTTCTTTAAATTGACACCAGATCCGGTGACCTTTGGGACATGGTTTGACCCCCTTAGGAAAGTGTTATCATCATGAAACGTTCAGATCACTTACAACTCAATAGATTCTACCTTCCTGTAACGTTTCAGCCTGATTGGACCTTGTTTTCACACAAATGGACCCAGAATGATGTGAAATTGTGCTTCGTGCAACATAATTCTGGGTGCCATTTACAAACCATAAGTGCTAATGAATCCATTCCTTTTTGTGGTTGTAGGGGCTGTTGATTGGAGAACACTAAAACAAACCTAACCTCTCTAGGACATTCAGAAGCCAAGTTATAAGCCCACAAAGGTGTAACTGGACTACTTCTTTAAAGTGACACCAGGCCCGGTGACCTTTGGGACATGGTTTTACCCCCTATAGGAATGAGAGAACATCTTGGAACGTTCAGATCACTTACAACTCAAGAGATTCTACCTTCTTGTAGCGTTTCAGCCTGATTGGACCTTGTTTTCACACAAATGGACCCAGAATGATGTTAAATAGTGCTTCGTGCAACATAATTCTGGGTGCCATTTACAAACCTTAAGTGATAATGACTCCATTCCTTTTTGTGGTTGTAGGGGCTGTTGATTGGAGTACACTAAAACAAACTAACCTCTCTAGGACATTCAGAAGCCAAGTTATAAGCCCACAAATGTGTAACTGGACTACTACTTTAAATTGACACCAGGCCCGGTGACCTTTGGGACATGGTTTGACCCCCTTAGGAAAGTGCTATCATCATTAAACGTTCAGATCACTTGCAACTCAATAGATTCTACCTTCCTGTAACGTTTCAGCCTGATTGGACCTTGTTTTCACACAAATGAACCCAGAATGATGTGAAATTGTGCTTCGTGCAACATAATTCTGGGTGCCATTTAAAAACCATAAGTGCTAATGACTCCATTCCTTTTTGTGGTTGTAGGGGCTGTTGATTGGAGTACACTAAAACAAACTAACCTCTCTAGGACATTCAGAAGCCAAGTTATAAGCCCACAAATGTGTAACTGGACTACTTCTTTAAATTGACACCAGATCCGGTGACCTTTGGGACATGGTTTGACCCCCTTAGGAAAGTGCTATCATCATGAAACGTTCAGATCACTTGCAACTCAATAGATTCTACCTTCCTGTAACGTTTCAGCCTGATTGGACCTTGTTTTCACACAAATGAACCCAGAATGATGTGAAATTGTGCTTCGTGCAACATAATTCTGGGTGCCATTTAAAAACCATAAGTGCTAATGACTCCATTCCTTTTTTTGGTTGTAGGGGCTGTTGATTGGAGTACACTAAAACAACCCTGACCTCTCTAGGACATTCAGAAGCCAAGTTATAAGCCCACACTGCAAATTATTTGCAGCTTAACAAGATTTGTTGTCTTTAATCTAGCCAAATTATCTTCTCCATCTTGTTTTAAACATTACAAGCTAGTTTCCAGTCTAATGCGTTAGAAGATCAGTCTTGTTTTAAGTTAATTTTGTTTTTTATTCTTATGTAGTCTGTAAATCTGAAATTTAACCATTTTACATTAATTTCAAGCAAAAAAAAATTCAGCTATCGTTTCAAATAAAAATCTTTCTCAAAATAAGAACCACTCACTTGATTTTCTTTAAATAAGAAAAACACAGTCCCATCAACATATTTATTATAGGTTTAAAGCAATGACATCTTCCAGGTTATATTTTGTCATAACATAGACACAGTTTTTGAAATTGACTGTGTAATATGAGGTATAATCAAGTAGGTTTTCAACATCAGTCAGTTCGGTTGCTTGGGCAAGGTTAGGTATCGCAACTTCATAGGCAAGAAACTCTTTGTTAAAACCCAATGTTTCATACACCTGGTATTCAAAGCAATATAGCACACTATTAACAACAAAAATGTTTTTTATAAGTCCAAAGGTAGGGATTAAACCATTTGCTGAAATAAGAATCATGGATCTGTCACAGATGTATTTGCTACCATGTGAAATAAGCCACTTTACTCTAACAGCATGATGTACAGCATCTTCAATGCCCAAAAAATCTACAACCTTTGATTGTAAATGATTAATATTAGATACATCTGATACAGGACCTAGCTCTTTTTCATGTAAAAAAATTGGATGCTCAATTCCTGTTTCACTTTGACAACACTCCAGCAGCTGATTGTGGTTTACAAGAGACTTGCACACATTCTTAAAATTTAATTTGGATGACCATTGTTTAAAAAAACTATGTTTAGACTCGAATCTCATGCACATATGCCGTATTACAGGTCCCAGAGCAATAATCTGAGAGGGAAGATGTAGCATGTAATGTTGCTTTGGGATTACATTGTTTTCAGGAAATAGTTGTCTGAATTGTTTAAGATGATTCTCTATCATCTGTTTTAGTTTGGACACAGTTTGTACAGACAAAACTGGGGCAAAAAGTATTTTAACAATTTCAATTAAATCCAAAATAAACTGGATATATGGATTTTTCTCCACAACACAGTCCAATAAGAATGGCAAAATCTTGATCAATATAAGCATCTGTCCAGAGGATTGTTTAAGTCTGTTGTCACTTGAAGCTAAAGTAGCTATACTAATTGGTGAAGGCTTGTCACGTATGTCTGTTGATGAAAAAGGAAAAGTCTGCATGGCAGAATTAAAAATGTCCAACTCTAAATTTCCAGATAAAACAAGATATTTCAACACACACTTAATTTCCATTGGTGCCACTCCTTCAAGAATTATATGCATAATATCCTGTGGCATTTGCTCTATGAGATTAAAACCTGGGAAATCAACTAACTTGCTTTGTCTATTTATGCCAAAAGTCGTTTTAAGCGAGGATTTTAAGAATTCAGTAGTTGCCCTATCAATTTCTTTGCATTGTCTTATGTGTCCGTCCAATGTCCGTCTGGTGAAACTCTGTTCATTGAAATTTGCTTGCATTTCATCAAAAGTACACTCACAATGGCGGCATTTGCTATATGCAAAACCAACTCCTTCCTTAAATCCTGCAAGCTCATGCTGGGCAAGAGTGTCTCCACACACAGCAATAACTGCTCCATTTAAATAAAATTCCCCATTCACAGTGTTAATCATAACACCGTCATACAGCAACTTCAAGTCCTCATCAATTCTCTGCAGTATAATGTCTACCCCACACTCATCTATGTCTTTAGACTTTGCGATTCCAATAAGTCTGATTGAAGCCAGCTTTGATCTAAACTTAGGGTCGATGTTGCCTAATGTGTAATAAAACATTAATAATTTATTTACACCTGCACGTGACCCTAGGGGGTTACAAATTTCTATCTCATCAGAATACAATATAAGTTGTAAAGCAGAGTTCTTCTTAGAAAACAGTGGGTGGGTTTTGAAAATAATTCCATCATTAATGTCATACAAAAAATTGGCCTTGGAGCAACTTTGAGGTGCAGCACTGAACATGTCAAATAGTCTTGAATTGGATAGTAGCTGTTTCAAACTTTCAATCAGAGGGATGTAGTAGAAAGACTTGTTTTTGATTGCAAGAACTCTAGATTCTCCCTTTTTAACTCTACAGGCATACTTGGAAATGATGATCTCCTCAGGTGAAACCGGGTTAAAATGCATCTGTGTTGCTGGGTCCTGTAGGTTAATAGCTGCACATAGAGGAAAGGGGTCCTGAAAGTTGTCCAGTGTTGAAAGAACTTCTGCTTGTAAAGGTCCAGTGCTGTCAGGATGCCTTTGTAGGATGGTCTTCATTTCTTCTCTCAAGGACGCCAGAAGAGCCGTTTGATACTGTTGAACACCAAGGACAATGTTGTTCACACTCGTCTGATGGAAAAAAAAATAACATTAGATAAGTGGAAATGTAAACAATATGAAAAACATAGCAATGCAACTCAATGACTGTCCTCATCTGAAATGTTTCTTTAACATAGAATGTGCTACTACTTCAGCTGTAGAAATAGTTCAGATTCACACAAATAAGCTTCTAAAGAATCATAAAATGAGCAGCCTCAGAAACACTATTAAGTAAATGTGGTGTGTGTGTGTGTTCTTGTCTTCTCCATCCCCAGTGAGTCGTGGAGGATGGCTGCTTATACTGAGCCAAGATTCTCTGGAGGTTTCTTCCTGTTAAAAGGGAGTTTTCCTCTCCACTGTCACTAAATGCTTGCTTAGTATGAGGATTGCTGTAAAGACACTGACACTAGTCAGTGACTCAATGCAACCTGCTGGGTTCCTTATATAGGAAACTTTTTACTGAGTGGCATACCTAACTGTTTACTGTGTGAAGTGCCCTGAGACGACTCTTGTCATGATTTGGCGCAATATAAATACAATGCATTGAATTGTTAACTTTTTTTAGTGTTATTTATTTATAGTAAAATAGTTATGAAAAAACTTATTAAGGTTAAAATATCTTTTCACTCCAGTGAACTACACTTTAAAATTATCCCCTTTTTTTCCAAATGAACAATGACACAAAAATAGGGGGTATTATTAGATGAGGCAGTACCTGTGATAGGTGGCATTGCTCCCGCACACCAATAGCAAATGCAGCTGCACGTCTGGCGAGAGCAACAGGTTCTCTTACGCCCTACAGGACCAAAGAAAGACAAGTGTGTAAGAAAAGTAACACCCTGAATGTGTTTCCAATTCTATCAGTAACTAAACAAAGCAAAACAAATATTACAACAGTTGGTTGTATTTATTTGCAATTACAAAATTAATACGATGAGGCATATCTATTCAAGCTGCACATTTTGTAAACAATTTAGGAATTATTTAATAAATTTAAGCAATCTTTATGGAATCGACTCCGGAGTTAAGTGAACCCGCTTGTTGAAAGCTGCTGGTTCACTGTTAAGTCAGTTACACCAATTATACACCAGTAAATAAGGAGAAGTTTAAATCGGTTTAAAATATTGTAACTCAGCCTACAATATTTTACAAATATGAACTTCAGTAGACACAATTTGAAAAAAAAAAAAAGCTGACAACACAACAAATAAGTCAAATAAATAAATATGGAGGAACCATAACAGCATCAGTAAACATCATGTCTGAGCTCTGTGTGTAATATTCATATTCATAGTGATGTTCACTTTGACGCCTAAGTTCGCCTAAAATATTTTAATATAAATAAATGTGTATTTCTGTGTCTGTTTTTGTGTATTACGATGTACATTGATTTTACTTCAGTATGCCTGTAAGAAATTGACAGAAAAGTGACAACAAACAAGTGATGAGGTAAAGGATAAACCATCTGAAACAAGCTTCAGTGTTAGAAAGCTTCATTTGGAAGATATTCATAAATCACACACACACACACAAAGTACATTACCTGATTCTGACGTGGTGTTTGAACATCCGATTGGTCTTTGTCCATCAAATTCCGACTTTCCTGTCGCTCCTGCTCCAACACAACCGAGGTTTGTGGGAAATCTGGTGTTTCTGCTTCAATTGGTCTTGTTTCGGTAGTACAGTCGGCAAAAATAGCTGTACCAAAATGTTCACTTCCTAACAGATTTGCATCGAATGAAGCTGAGAGACAACCTGTGGGAGGGTTCCCAGCGGCGAAATATTGTGAATGTGTCCGTCTGAGATGGTAGTAGAAAGAGTTGAAAACGCGGTATTCCTCAGCGCATCCATCGACTCCACAAATGACACGGAAATCCGGACTGCGACTGTGTGCAGTATTAATGTGACTTAAAAGTGACTTCAGCGTTAATGCAACAAAAACAAAGCAAATAACGCACCTCCAGCAGGCCATTGTATAACTACAAAGTCACGCATAAAATGTTGGTTTATAGTCAAGTTCAAAAGCTACTCTTTAGCTACTTCACCTTTGAGCCGGAAGTGGAACTTCTACCGCGCTAGTTTGGAACATACCAACTTGATGGGGTTTTTATCCTAACTATGTAACAAAATAAAACTGCCCCAAAAAAGACACTGAAATGAAATCCATAAGACAAGTTATTTAATAGAATAAGAGATTTAAATATACTAACTTTTATCATGAATGTACAAATTACTAAAATTTATGTAGAAGCAAAAATTTAGATTTTCACCCCCTTCTTGTTCCGTGTTAGTTGTTACCCAACTCCATTTTATTTGCATGCGGGCGATGTTCGTTACAGTGGCAAGAAAAAACTGTATGAGAACAAACACTTCATGAATAGAGAGAGGTAAGCAATTTTAAAATGTGATATATAAGCAAGAGAGAGTTAAGCAATTTTAAAATGTTATATATAAGCAGTGTTCAGCCTAATTGTTGTTTTCAACTCAAGCGGACAGAATAGATTTTTATTTGGGCGGGAATGTCTAACGGAGCATGCTAACAAATGCTAGCGTTAGCTTAGCATCCCTGGCACGAGTTTTAGAGAACGATTATTAAATAAATTAGCAAGTCTCCTTTTCCCATTTTACAGCTAAACAGCGGAGCATGTCTGCTGGACATTCATCTTAATCATCCTCCTGAAAAAATCTTTTGTTATTTTTATATTAATTAGATTTATTAAAGTGGGCTCAATAGTTTTATTCAGGAATCAAAAAATTTAATCAAATGACAAAATATATTTGTTTTGCAGGTGATTGAGCTATGGAGAAGCTGGATCACGTAACAGTATCTATCCTTACAGGTTAGATTTCATATTACATGTATGTGTGTGTGTGTGTGTGTGTGTGTGTGTGTGTGTGTGTGTGTGTTTAACTGGCATTTGTCTTTTTGTTAGCTGCATGCATTGACGAGCCCATGCTCTTAACTTTGAGCCGCGAGGATCTGAGGGACCTGTTTCCTGGGCCTGAACACTTTCTCACTAGAAAGCGTGTGTGGTCAGTAATTCACCCTGAGGTATTGTGTAAAACTATTTATTTCAGCAAATCTCTAGAAAGTGTGCTTTTATTTTTGCATTACTTGAAACTTTTCTTTTCTCACCTTATACCAGGAAGACCGTCCTGTAACACAGACCCCTGAAACATATTCTTCACCCAGGGTAGTTCCAACAGCCAGGCCTCAAAGTCCTGATGCTAAAAAAAGCCAGCAGAAGACCTTGCAGCTCCCCAGTCCTCCGGAATATGTAGTGTACACAGACAGTGAGTTGGAGCAATGCAGAAAGAGTTACTATGATTTGGCCCATGTTAGCCGGGAACATGAATGTGTCATGTCCAAAGAACTGAGATGCAGACTAGTGAGAAATACAATCACAAGTATGGTGTCCCTTTTGAGAGCAAGCGAAGGCCAAATGGAGCGATACCCCTCTAAGAACGAAATCACTGCAATGGCCAAAATAATCGTGGAATATTATCCTATGCTAAAGGATAATGATGCAAGCGTGAAACACGTAAGTTCGTCTATTTGTCTCCTCCATGAATCATTTTGTTTTGTTTAGTAAGCATGAAATATATGCATTTGTCACCAGGAGAGCATCAACGCAAAGTTACTAAAAAGGCTGCAAAATATTAAAACTCCTGTAAAAAAGCAACGGCCAACACCAGACAGGGGCCGGCCAAAGAGAAGACTCACTGACCTCTCTCCAACTGATAAAGAAGCTGATGATGAAGATGTTGATTGCAGTTCTTCCAGTGGTGCATCTAATCTGCTGTTATCACCTGCAAGCAGTTCTGATGCTTCCACTTCATGTGAGTACATACATGTAATTTTTTAAAATGTTTATCGACACACAAGCCATATAGCCAATGTTATGTATAAGTCTATAAAATGCTCTTGTACTTCTCCCCATTTTAGCTGGCAGGGTTAGTCCGCAAATACAAGCAAGACTTTACAGAACATTACAAGAAATGTGCAAGAAGCCGAAACCAAACCAAGAAGATGTGTCCCAGTTATTAGACCTCGAGTTTGACTCCAGAAGAGCCTTCATTGACTCAGACTCCTTGAAAGAGGAGAACAGAGCTTCCCACATCTTGGATGCATATCCATGCTTTAAAGAACTGCATCATGTACGCTATTGGGAGAGTTCATAATTGGAATCAAATTAGAAATGTATTTTCTCTGTTATTTGAGTTTTTTTATTTTTTATCTGTGTTTAATATTGTAGGTGTTGGGTGAGCTGCGCAGAATTTTGGATCCACACAACAACAAGTTCGTCAGTCAAATCAAACAAAGATGGCAAGAATTTTGCTCCAGGGTGGAATTCTATGGTGTGTCAAAGAAGGCAATGAATCCACCAATGACTATGGACAAAAGTAAGCATAAAAATTTGAATACAAAGTTCTCATCCTTTTAAATGTAAGTTTATGCAGGTTTGTTTTTGCTGTGTACAGCTGAAGCCCATCTTGCATTGATGAAGGCTCTTCCAACACTCTTTCCCTCACCTGCCCATCCACCCAAAAAGATGGGGACTGCTTCTGATGCATTTCTACATGTCCTGAAGGTTTGTTTTGTGTAATTTGCTTTATAAAGATATACTACAGACTCACTACAACAAAATGAAGGAGGGGTAATGCTAAATCAAGTTTTTATAGCATTGTTTTCTAAAATAAAACATCCATGGAGTAGTTTAAAGTCACTCATGCATGTGACTCTTTCACCGGGACTATTCTTTAGGTAGCTTTTTTTCAAGCTCTTCCATTTTTTTTCCTCAATGTTTCTCCTGCTGTTCGAAGTGACCAGAAAAACATTATAAGTGTTGCCTGCTATTTCTAGGGACTTATGGCCAGACACAGATAAACCATGAGTTAAAACACAAAAAGTGTGTAATCAACAAAGAAAAGGGTTAAATGTTTTTGAGGTTATGACTAAAAATGTGTGCCATGTCTGTCTTGCAGCCTACAGAAGATCCAGATGCAGTCCTCCAGAAACGAAGCTTGTCATGTCCAGTGGTGATGTTCGATGGATGCAAGTGTGTTATTGCTGTTGGGAATTTGCCAGTTACAACATTTGACAAAGAAAAACTTGGTGAGGCTATGATTTATGTGATGGCATACTTTTATACACTCCATCTGACTTATCCCAAATGCGTGGCAACCCTACTGTCTGTCATTCAGACAGAAGTTCTCCAGGATGCTATTCATGAGCGTGACACTACATCATATTACAAAAAAGCCCTGGCCGAATGGTACGCATTTATTGGAAAGTAGTTGTACATTTAGTGAGATTATGGGGTACAGTTACTGATGGAACTGTAATTTAAAGAGCTGCACAGACCAGAGATCCCCCCTTTTCTTTCACTTAGTTACATTCAATGTATTTTATATTCATTATTGTGCCTTTTACTATAACATTCCAGGTTCAGTCGGTCAGACAATAGGATTATGTTGAAATCCTCATGTTTAATCCACCATCATCTATGGCCTGCAGATGGTTACTGAAATATCTCATGTCTCTGACCAAATGAACCTTGAAAGTTATACTAAAAACCTGTTGATTTATGCTTGTGATATTGTTCATGTTGTTTCTATTATAACATTGGTTTTGGTTTTATGTTGAGGACAACACAGAACTCTTCATCATGTTCTCTCATAAAAGTGCAGCATTTTTGTTCATGTTTGCATATTTCAGTAATTCTCTACACTACATTTAGTTTGATCTCAGTAGAAACAAAAGTTGACATGTTTAAACAGGTTTAACCCTCCCACTGTCCTAATGGGTGTGGCCCCACGAGGAAAGTAGATCATTGAGCAGTGTGGATGGTTTATCCCTTGGGTCCATGTGGCAGGGGTGAGGAGTGAGCACCACCTCACCCCTGCCACATGGACCCAAGGGATAAACCATCCACACTGCTCAATGATCTACTTCCTCGTGGGGCCACACCCATTAGGACAGTGGGAGGGTTATAAGGAAATTGTCAGACCTGTACAAGGCACATTTTCATTTGCATACCTGTGTGTAATTGTTAAAGTGGAGAAATAAAAGTTTGACACTTGCTCCGTTTCAGTTTTATTATATTTAGTCCATAATGAGAAATATAATCTTATAGCTCTACTTTTAGGATTTATTTGCTAAATTTAAGGGTAAAAAAGCAGGAAAAAATTATTAAATTTACTAGTTTTTAGATTATTTGCCTTATTTGTTCCTTAGAGTAAGTGTTTTATGCTTATTTGCAGATTTAACTTCCACAGTTTTTTGCTTAGAACAACTGGTAACAGCTTATTTTAAGATTCTATTGTAATTTTCATTGCCTGAAATAGGCATGTAAGGCTTATTTCAAGATTTAATTGTCTTGTGTGTTGCCTAGAATAAGTGTAAAACACTTACTTTTAGCTTTGTTTAAGTCTAGATATTATTCTTATTTCAAGAAATCTTACTAAGAAAAATTCACTCACTGCACTGGCAGATAATTTAACTTGTTTTTAGTTATTATTGACTTTAAAAAAGTGTATTTGTCTAGTATTAAGCAGGTTGGTTTTTGCAGTGCACAAATGTGTAACTGGACTACTTCTTTAAATTGACACCAGATCCGGTGACCTTTGGGACATGGTTTGACCCCCTTAGGAAAGTGTTATCATCATGAAACGTTCAGATCACTTACAACTCAATAGATTCTACCTTCCTGTAACGTTTCAGCCTGATTGGACCTTGTTTTCACACAAATGGACCCAGAATGATGTGAAATTGTGCTTCGTGCAACATAATTCTGGGTGCCATTTAAAAACCATAAGTGCTAATGACTCAATTCCTTTTTGTGGTTGTAGGGGCTGTTGGTTGGAGTACATTAAAACAAACCTGATCTCTCTAGGACATTCAGAAGCCAAGTTATAAGCCCACAAATGTGTAACTGGACTACTTCTTTAAATTGACACCAGATCCGGTGACCTTTGGGACATGGTTTGACCCCCTTAGGAAAGTGTTATCATCATGAAACGTTCAGATCACTTACAACTCAATAGATTCTACCTTCCTGTAACGTTTCAGCCTGATTGGACCTTGTTTTCACACAAATGGACCCAGAATGATGTGAAATTGTGCTTAATGCAACATAATTCTGGGTGCCATTTACAAACCATAAGTGCTAATGACTCCATTCCTTTTTGTGGTTGTAGGGGCTGTTGATTGGAGAACACTAAAACAAACCTAACCTCTCTAGGACATTCAGAAGCCAAGTTATAAGCCCACAAAGGTGTAACTGGACTACTTCTTTAAAGTGACACCAGGCCCGGTGACCTTTGGGACATGGTTTTACCCCCTATAGGAATGAGCGATCATCTTGGAACGTTCAGATCACTTACAACTCAAGAGATTCTACCTTCTTGTAGTGTTTCAGCCTGATTGGACCTTGTTTTCACACAAATGGACCCAGAATGATGTTAAATTGTGCTTCGTGCAACATAATTCTGGGTGCCATTTACAAACCTTAAGTGATAATGACGCCATTCCTTTTTGTGGTTGTAGGGGCTGTTGATTGGAGTACACTAAAACAAACCTGATCCCTCTAGGACATTCAGAAGCCAAGTTATAAGCCCACAAATGTGTAACTGGACTACTTCTTTAAATTGACACCAGATCCGGTGACCTTTGGGACATGGTTTGACCCCCTTAGGAAAGTGCTATCATCATGAAACGTTCAGATCACTTACAACTCAATAGATTCTACCTTCCTGTAACGTTTCAGCCTGATTGGACCTTGTTTTCACACAATTGAACCCAGAATGATGTGAAATTGTGCTTCGTGCAACATAATTCTGGGTGCCATCTACAAACCATAAGTGCTAATGACTCCATTTCTTTTTGTGGTTTTAGGGGCTGTTGATTGGAGTACACTAAAACAAACTAACCTCTCTAGGACATTCAGAAGCCAAGTTATAAGCCCACAAATGTGTAACTGGACTACTACTTTAAATTGACACCAGGCCCGGTGACCTTTTGGACATGGTTTTACCCCCTATAGGAATGTGCAATCATCTTGAAACGTTCAGATCACTTACAACTCAATAGATTCTACCTTCTTGTAGCGTTTCAGCCTGATTGGACCTTGTTTTCACACAAATGGACCCAGAATGATGTGAAATTGTGCTTCGTGCAACATAATTCTGGGTGCCATTTACCAACCATAAGTGCTAATGACTCCATTCCTTTTTGTGGTTGTAGGGGCTGTTGATTGGAGTACACTAAAACAAACCTGATCTCTCTAGGACATTCAGAAGCCAAGTTATAAGCCCACAAATGTGTAACTGGACTACTTCTTTAAATTGACACCAGATCCGGTGACTTTTGGGACATGGTTTGACCCCCTTAGGAAAGTGCTATCATCATGAAACGTTCAGATCACTTGCAACTCAATAGATTCTACCTTCCTGTAACGTTTCAGCCTGATTGGACCTTGTTTTCACACAAATGAACCCAGAATGATGTGAAATTGTGCTTCGTGCAACATAATTCTGGGTGCCATTTAAAAACCATAAGTGCTAATGACTGCATTCCTTTTTGTGGTTGTAGGGGCTGTTGATTGGAGTACACTAAAACAACCCTGACCTCTCTAGGACATTCAGAAGCCAAGTTATAAGCCCACAAATGTGTAACTTGACTACTTCTTTAAATTGACACCAGATCCGGTGACCTTTGGGACATGGTTTGACCCCCTTAGGAAAGTGCTATCATCATGAAACGTTCAGATCACTTGCAACTCAATAGATTCTACCTTCCTGTAACGTTTCAGCCTGATTGGACCTTGTTTTCACACAAATGAACCCAGAATGATGTGAAATTGTGCTTCGTGCAACATAATTCTGGGTGCCATTTAAAAACCATAAGTGCTAATGACTCCATTCCTTTTTGTGGTTGTAGGGGCTGTTGATTGGAGTACACTAAAACAACCCTGACCTCTCTAGGACATTCAGAAGCCAAGTTATAAGCCCACAAATGTGTAACTGGACTACTTCTTTAAATTGACACCAGATCCGGTGACCTTTGGGACATGGTTTGACCCCCTTAGGAAAGTGTTATCATCATGAAACGTTCAGATCACTTACAACTCAATAGATTCTACCTTCCTGTAACGTTTCAGCCTGATTGGACCTTGTTTTCACACAAATGGACCCAGAATGATGTGAAATTGTGCTTCGTGCAACATAATTCTGGGTGCCATTTAAAAACCATAAGTGCTAATGACTCAATTCCTTTTTGTGGTTGTAGGGGCTGTTGGTTGGAGTACATTAAAACAAACCTGATCTCTCTAGGACATTCAGAAGCCAAGTTATAAGCCCACAAATGTGTAACTGGACTACTTCTTTAAAGTGACACCAGATCCGGTGACCTTTGGGACATGGTTTGACCCCCTTAGGAAAGTGTTATCATCATGAAACGTTCAGATCACTTACAACTCAATAGATTCTACCTTCCTGTAACGTTTCAGCCTGATTGGACCTTGTTTTCACACAAATGGACCCAGAATGATGTGAAATTGTGCTTAATGCAACATAATTCTGGGTGCCATTTACAAACCATAAGTGCTAATGACTCCATTCCTTTTTGTGGTTGTAGGGGCTGTTGATTGGAGAACACTAAAACAAACCTAACCTCTCTAGGACATTCAGAAGCCAAGTTATAAGCCCACAAAGGTGTAACTGGACTACTTCTTTAAAGTGACACCAGGCCCGGTGACCTTTGGGACATGGTTTTACCCCCTATAGGAATGAGCGATCATCTTGAAACGTTCAGATCACTTACAACTCAAGAGATTCTACCTTCTTGTAGCGTTTCAGCCTGATTGGACCTTGTTTTCACACAAATGGACCCAGAATGATGTGAAATTGTGCTTCGTGCAACATAATTCTGGGTGCCATTTACAAACCTTAAGTGCTAATGACTCCATTCCTTTTTGTGGTTGTAGGGGCTGTTGATTGGAGTACACTAAAACAAACGTGATCTCTCTAGGACATTCAGAAGCCAAGTTATAAGCCCACAAATGTGCAACTGGACTACTTCTTTAAATTGACACCAGATTCGGTGACCTTTGGGACATGGTTTGACTCCCTTAGGAAAGTGCTATCATCATGAAACGTTCAGATCACTTACAACTCAATAGATTCTACCTTCCTGTAATGTTTCAGCCTGATTGGACCTTGTTTTCACACAAATGAACCCAGAATGATGTGAAATTGTGCTTTCTGCAACATAATTCTGGGTGCCATTTAAAAACCATAAGTGCTAATGACTCAATTCCTTTTTGTGGTTGTAGGGGCTGTTGGTTGGAGTACATTAAAACAAACCTGATCTCTCTAGGACATTCAGAAGCCAAGTTATAAGCCCACAAATGTGTAACTGGACTACTTCTTTAAATTGACACCAGATCCGGTGACCTTTGGGACATGGTTTGACCCCCTTAGGAAAGTGTTATCATCATGAAACGTTCAGATCACTTACAACTCAATAGATTCTACCTTCCTGTAACGTTTCAGCCTGACTGGACCTTGTTTTCACACAAATGGACCCAGAATGATGTGAAATTGTGCTTCGTGCAACATAATTCTGGGTGCCATTTACAAACCATAAGTGCTAATGAATCCATTCCTTTTTGTGGTTGTAGGGGCTGTTGATTGGAGAACACTAAAACAAACCTAACCTCTCTAGGACATTCAGAAGCCAAGTTATAAGCCCACAAAGGTGTAACTGGACTACTTCTTTAAAGTGACACCAG